TGGTGCTGCTTGGCCTGCTGTGTTCATCCAGCTCTACACCTTGTTATTAGTTAACCAGATGCGTTTTTAGAAAAATAATTTAATGGTTATCATTACTTTAATTAGCTTTCCATTCCAGATTTTATTAATTAAATTTAATTCCATTAGCTACCATGGTGGGATTTGAACTGAAATCCCTAGAGCATTAGTACAAACTTCTGGATGATTCATCTGGTGACATTACCATTAACATTGGGCCCATTTTGCAGACACTTTAGGTTTCCACCTAGCACAGGTGTTAGTTGACTTGAATTTGTCCTTAAGCGTTTTAAAGTCTATTGAAGGACCCTTTTTCAAAAGTGGTTCCAATTAGTGTTCAGATATAAGGATTTCTTTAGCATACCGTGTCCACCAGTAAGAGACGTGTTTGAATGTATTTAGTTGAAGTAGAGCAAAGATTATTCAAACTGTACACAGAGTTGTACAGATTTGGAAATCGAATTGATAGTAAGAGAATGGACTCAAACTTTGGACGCAAGAGCACAACAGACTTATGCTACAGTAACCACACAGTATTACTGGCAGAATCAGAAGACACCTTACCATGGATAATGCAAAATCTAGAAGTTTAGAATAGAGATTTGAGTATAAATTAATAAAATAAAAATAAAACTATAGTAGTTAGAAAGATTAGAAAAAACCAAAGTGAAGTTTGAAGTGAATGATGTCACAATGAACAAGAGGATAAATTTGTTTATTTTAGACAGATGATAACAGGACATGACAAATGTGATGCAGAAGTTAGACAAAGGATAGAGATGGAAGTAATTTTGTGAAGATGAAGGATGTAGTACAATTTTGATTTTCTTGTTAACAGAGGAAAAATCTCATAGTCATACAGCACGGAAACAGACCCTTTGGTCCAACCAGTCCTACCATAATCCCAAACTTAAACTAGTCCCAACTGCCTGCTCCTGGCCCATATCCCTCCAAACCTTTACTACTCATGTACTTATCCAAATGTCTTTTAAATGTTGTAATTGTATCCACATCCACCACTTCCTCAGGAAGTTCATTCCACACATGAACCATCCTCTGTGTAAACAATTTGCCCCTCATGTCTTTTTTAAATCTCTCTCCTCTCACCTTAAAAATGTGCTGTCTTAAAATCCTCAATCCGAGGGAAACAACAACTACCATTTACTCTATCAAACCCCTCATTATTTTATAAACTTCTATAAGGTCTCCACTTAACCTCCTAAGCTCCAGTGAAAAAGTCCCTTCCGTCAACTTTCCTATATGCCTCAGAAACCTGGACAATAAATGAAGATCTATGGAAGAAATTAGGGAGTTTTGAAATTTGGATGAAATTGTAAAAACAAAGAGGAAAAAGGTTATTATTTTTACCAGAGACAACAAGGTGCAGGGCTGGATGAACACAGCAGGCCAAGCAGCATCATAGGAGCAGAGAGGCTGACGTTTCGGGCCTAGACCCTTCATCAGAAAAGGGGGAGGGGAAGGGGGTTCTGAAATAAATAGGGAGAGAGTGGGAGGCGGATAGAAGATGGATAGAGGAGAGGATAGGTGGAGAGGAAACAAACAGGTCGAAGAGGCGGGGATGGGGCCAGTAAAGGTGAGTGTAGGTGGGGAGTTAGGAAGGAGATAGGTCAGTCCAGGGAGGACGGACAGGTCAAGGGGGCGGGATGAG